GGTATCCAACTCGTTGAAGAAAAAGCATCTGTTTTCATACATTGTTACTTATGCTCTTTTTTTCATACGTTTTAGTTGAAGAGGCATGCTGTGACCATAGATGATTATACTGATGTGCCCCCAAATGATGAGGAACAACTACTACAAGCTGTGGCAAATCAGCCTGTGAGCGTCGGCATATGTGGCAGCGACATTGCATTTCAGTTGTACTCAAAGGTTCGCCTTAATCCTCTACGCCAATTCTGTTAGGTCAATGACGGATAATCATAATCGTTAGATGTCTTAAGTGTGTTAACTCATGTTTATGTTTGTGTTACAGGGAATTTTCACTGGTCCATGTTCGAATTCTTTGGATCATGCTGTTCTAATTGTAGGTTATGGTTCGGAAAATGGGGTGGACTATTGGATTGTGAAGAACTCATGGGGAAAAAGTTGGGGAATGAATGGCTACATCCACATGCTACGCGATCATAGCAATTCCCAAGGGGTCTGTGGCATCAACAGTTTAGCTTCATATCCGATAAAGACCGGGCAAAACCCTCCTCTTCCCCCGCCTTCTCCTCCCCCAGGTCCAACCAAATGCGACCTCTTTACGCACTGCGCAGCAGGGGAAACCTGCTGTTGTGCCAAGAGGTTTTTTGGAATATGCTTTGCTTGGAGATGCTGTGAGTTGAACTCCGCTGTTTGTTGCAAGGATAACAGTCACTGTTGTCCCCATGATTATCCCATCTGTGACACAGAAAGGGCGCTCTGCCTCAAGGTTTGCATGAATCTTTCCTTGTCAATTAGAGAGAACGACTTCCGCACACTCCTGTTTATTTTTGTCCGTCAATTTTGAAGCATGATTTTTAGTCATATTGCCTGTTGTGGACTGTGGACTCGCACTAATCACAATCATTGCGCGTTAATTCACACCACCACATATCAAATGAATTAGATTGTTCGATTATTGTACTAAATTTACTCCATTGTTGCATTGCAGAGTAGCGAACTATCAATGCAATCCCAGGTCACTTCGAACGTAACAACAAAAGTGTTTATGAGCAGAAGCGTGTTGAGGAAGTCGAGCCGGTAACTTAGTTGAGGGTTGCATCATTTGAACTTCCTTTGCAGAGTGTAGTAGTAAATTGGTAATGACATGGTGAGGCACATTTCTTTGCCACAGATACAGATTCTGTATATAAACTGCAAACAAACAACTGTTGCACTCGCAAATGCCAATTTTGTCTAAATTATTCATTGTTCATGTAATGTAATATTTAACATTTACTCGGTCCATCTGAATAAAATTTTAGTTCACCTCGCAACAATGAGAGTAGTGCCCTCCATTCTGTTTCATCCGCCTGCCGGCCCAAGGACCGGCAGGCGAGGCGAACGGAGAACAAGTAGCAAAGAGTTGTGTTTCGTTTCTTTGCTTTGTTGAAGGGTCATAAATTGTTCAATAATTCCAGTTCACGAAGCCAAAATCGACACATTCGCGGCTCCGAGTTTGGAACTTCTTAATACAAAATTGTAAAATAACATATTTGTTTGATAACCATTTTGTTTTTTGTTTTTTTTTATCGGTTATAGATCTTCAGATTAAGGGTTCGGTTTATAACCATTTCGTTTTTTGTTTTTATACGAGATCAACGCACATGAATGCCATATAAAGTTACGAAGTATGTGCAAAATGAACTTGTAATTATATCTAAAAATCTAGGAAAAAAAGAAAGCAAAATTGAAAATTTTACAACTTGATTGCTTTAGTTCATCCTTTACAGAGATTGCAGTGGTACACCGGGTGCAATTCCAAGACCTCATTCCCAATTTCCGTTCAATTTTCAGGCCGACGGGAAGACGTCCTTGACGGCGGAGGCCGCCGTCAAGTAATTAAGCGTGTTCCTCAGAGTGTCCTTCTCTCTCTTCAACCGCGCCGCCGTGTCCTCCAGTTCCAGCAACGCCTGCTGCTCTCTCGGTGCCCCTTCGAAAGTGCTCCCAACGAAAAACGAAAACGGCGTCGGAAACAGGTTCCGTCGCAGGTCCTGCACATCCTTCTCCGGCTTCCCGCCCAACCGATTTGACAACCGAATCACATCCTTCATATACGACTCGACCTCGCTGGCCAACGCCTCCAGGTCCTCCTCGCCGTCGTTCGACGGCCGGTCTTCGAGCCATTGGACCTCCGCCACCAGGTAAGGTTTGGTACGGACGAGGTCAGTGACCCGGAACCGCTCCTGGCCTTTGCAGATGAGGAAGAACCGGTCATCGACGAGGCGCTCGTGCTTGACGACCTCACCGACGCAGCCAACGTCGGCGGTGCCGGAGACGGCATCATTGTAGATAACCCCGAATCGGAGATCGGTCTGGAGGAGGGAGTGCATCATGATACGGTAGCGGAACTCGAAGATCTGGAGGGGGAGGATGGCGCCGGGGAAGAGGACGAGGGGGAGGGGGAAGATGGGGAGCTCGACGACGTCGTCTGATTTGGGCTGATTGGTGGGGTGGCGCTCAGAGAATGAGGAGGCGGAGCATCTGAGGGAGCCGGGTCGTTGGCGGCGGCGGCGGAGATGGGGGGAGAGGAAATTAGGGTTAGGGTTTAAGGGGGAGGGGATGGGATTGGGGTTGAAGGTGGGTTTATGGGGGAGGGAGGAGGAGGAAGGGGAGGGGATGAGCTGAGGGAGAGCCATTGGAGTGATGTTTGGGAGGAGGAGGAGAGAGAGAGTAGTCAGATTGCCATGTTTGAAAGAGTGAGTAAGCGTGGGAGTGACTAATTTTTTTTTTCTGGTTTTCTGTTTTTCTCCCTCTAAATTTTTAGAAAATGTGGAAAAATCTGGTGGCTTTGAGGCAGTGAAGGGGATGTGGATAATATGGAGAGAGAAGGCAAGAGAGGGAGAAATTTTGTGCCGGAAATATGTCCGGATGTGTCATAATATAATTAGTTAAAATTTTTTTTTTTAAGTATTTAATCATTTGTATTGTGACACTTGATGTATTGAATTATGTTTTCACCATACTAAAAATTTCTTCAGGGCAAGTGATCAGCTTAGCAAGAGCTTATTTGGTTTATTGTTTGGTGAGAAGTATTGTATGGAGCGGATTCACCACTGTGGCACTGTATAACGTTTTGGTTCAAAATTATGTTTTTGGTCATAATACAATATATTATTAAATTAAAACGTTAGTGAACTTGTTTAATGTAAATTGTTATTGTAATTTGATAGATGCGAAAGGAATTGAAAATATGGGGAGTGTTTGGGATGTGGCTTTAGATTTCCCACGTGGAAGTTGGGCTGGTGGTTTCTATGGTTTGGTCTATCTTTTTCTTTCAAACACAAAAATCCACAACCCCTTTTTTATTTGTCCTCATTTCCATCCTATAATGTGTTAATAATGTTGATATTGTTAGGATAACGAGATCTGTACTCCAATTTTTTATTTATCATTTTTTTTCTTTCTTCTAATTTTCTTTTGATTCACTTAAAGGTTAAAAAATTATATATTCGATGAAAATTTAACAAAATGACCACATTAATATGTTACCGTGAAAATGATCACATTGTTGTGTGGCAATCAGATCGATTGATTTTAAAATTCAGAGATCAAAACAAAAACTTGGGTCATTGTCAAGGATAATTTGCGATGAAAACCCTGATATTTATTTTTTATTTTATTAAAAACGTCGTTTCCCCATTTAATTGCCGAGGTTTATGCAATAGGCCTAAGCCGATTATGTTGATGGATAGGCGGAAAAATAAAACGGGCCGACTCAGTGATGTTCAGTCCATTTATATAAATGGGCTGGCAAGTTTTAAGTTTTAACTCCTTCTGTTTGAAGAAAAAAGCCCATTGTCCAATTTAGGTTTAAAGGAAGTCCTTTTATGTATTTTCCAAAACTAACATTTTGATTTTAATAATTTTGTATATTTATTTTTCATATTACAATTTGGTGGTATTCTTCTTCGCTTAGAAGTGAGAAGTCTTAGGTTCGAATCTCATGAATGGCAAATTCGACATCAAATTAGGCTGTTCATTATGTGACTTACCCAAACATTTCTTTCCCTAATGTAAAAATATTAATATACTTAAAATAAAATAAAAAATAAATTTTAAGTTACAATATCAATTCCAAAAAATTTCAATTTATAATTATCATTGTCACCATCAATATCAAGTAACCAAGAAAATAATAATTGTCAATTACGTACAACTAAGCAGATGTGATTGGATAAGGTTGTGCAGACAAAATGCTCGTCCTTTTTCACTAAACTTTAAATCCATCTCGTTTTGTATTAGAATGTTTTGAAGGGATCATCTCGGATTCCTTCTATTAAATTCACTAAATTTACTAATTCGAATTATTAAAATTTGATTCAACGGCTACATATAAAGGATTCCTTTAAAAGTTATAATAACTTTAGCCGTTAGATCAAATTTTAATTGTTCGAATGGATAAACTTGGTAGAAAGAATCCCTTTCCGTTTGAAAAAACACCTTTAAAACATAGCTAAAGTAAAATAAAGATCAAAATCAATCTTCAATTACGTTGCACTTTTTTGTATACAAGCGATAGTTCAGGAAGTAAAATAGGCTCAAAACTTGAGTTTAATTTTTAATGCTAATAAACCACACAATAATGACAAAAATACGATGAAATATCTCTGTGAGCTCCATCTACGACCGTGTGGAATATTATTCCATTCCATTTGAACGGAGAGGAATCCTTTCCGGATCCGTTCCTCCTAATCAACCAAATTAGAAAATTCATGCCATTAAAATTTGATTTAACGACTGAAATTATTATAACTTTTAAAGTGGTCTCATACTTGTAGTCGTTTGATCAAATTTCAATGACACGAGTTCGCTGATTTGAAAGATTAAGAGGAACTGATCCGAAGATGTTCCTTTTCCATTTGGGCCTCTCTGTCCAGGTTCATTTTGTACCTTCCTTCCACGTCCGCTGTTGACACCCGCGCTTACCGTCACCACCGCGCACGCTATTCACACCAAATGGCAATTCCGCAATAAACCTCGAAACATGACCTCTTTTGTAAAGCCCGGCCTATATATACGCGGAGCTCCGATCCCTTTCCCAAATCGTCGCAAAAGAATTGAGCTCTGAGAAAACCTAGATTCGCTTCGGTAAACATTTGCGAGTAAAAGAAGAAGAAAATGTCGGAAGAAAAAGTCATCGGCTGCCACTCTGTTGCCGCCTGGACCGAGCACCTCGAGAAGAGCCACGTCAGCAAGAAACTGGTATATTTTCAAATCTTCAATCGTTTTTTTTGCTATTTTTTTTTCTTTAATTTTTTTCCTGCAGACAGTAAATTAGTGAATTTGTTTGTAGTTCTGTGATGCGGTGGCTAAAAATCTATAGGGATTTTGATTTTTCTTTCACCGTTCTGGATTTGTGGCTAAAAATCTTAGTAAAATTTTCAAAAGAAAATGACTATTCAAACATGTTCGACCACCCTTGTTAATTTTTTATGTTTTTCGTTGGATCTGACGGTCGAAAATTAAAAAAATTCAAAAGAGTAAAAAATTGATTTTTTTATCTGACAGTAAAAAATTGAGAAAATTAAGGGGTTTGTATTGGAAGATGTATGAGAAGTAAAAATTGGTGTGCGGTTTTCAAAATCAAGAGCAATAATTGGGTTTGTTGCATATTACATTTTTTGAAAAGATGCAATTTGGGTAATGGTTGGAAGACCTAGGGTTTACGGCTGTTTATCCTGCTCCCTTTATGTTTGGATTGCTTTGGTACATTGCTTAGCTTATTAAATATGTTATAGTTCGTGGTCGATTTCATGTCGTCGATTAGGGAATGACTTACCTACACCTCTTGGCATGTCATTCCAAGTCAATAATACAATGTCATGTGTTGTAACGGTCTTGTATGACATTCTATTAGTGGTTTGAGACTCCATGGTGGCATCCAGGGTGATTATAAGAATTCATTTGGATGTGCTTTTAAAATGATTGAAAACGTTTTTTGTGAAGATGTTTTTAGAATCAATTTTAGTAAAAATACAAGTAAATTTTGAAAAAACACTTAAAATACTTTTGGAAATCAAAAATATTTTCTCTAAAAATACTTTTAATTATTTTAAAAGCACATCTAAACGATTCCTAAGTCTCTCTTCTTGTTTCAAAGTGCTTTTACATACGTTTTTGGGTTCCAATGTGCTTCCTCAAACGAAGTCATAGATTTTGGTGCCGCTTTGGGTTTGAATTTATTAAACTTTTGTCCTAGAGATTCCCGTTTGGAGAACAAATTGTCATTTTCACGATTCATTTCTTTAAGCTGCCGACCTCACTTAGCGGGATAGGTTTGGTTGTTGTTTTCATTGCTTTAAGGGTTTATGCTAATGACTGCTTGTGAATTTTTGCATACCTGGTGGTTGATTTTGTGTGTCTTCTTTATACAATGTTTAGCAAATTAAGTTAAAACTAATTTGGTGTGTATTTCAATAGATTGTGGTCGACTTCACAGCTACATGGTGTGGACCGTGCCGGTTCATTGCCCCCATCTTCGCAGAGTTGGCCAGGAAGAACCCGGAGGTGACATTCCTAAAGGTGGACGTGGATGAGCTGAAAACTGTTTCCGAGGAGTGGGGAGTGGAGGCAATGCCGACCTTCTTGTTCCTCAAGGAAGGCAAGGTAGTCGACAAGGTTGTGGGTGCTAAGAAAGAAGAGTTACAGCTCAAAGTTGCGAAGCATGCAACTGCAGATGAACCCGCTACTGCTGATGAACCCGCTACTGCTGGTGATGCCGCGACTGCTGGTGATCCCGTGACTGCTGGTGATCCCACTACTGCTTCTGCTTAACTTTTCGCGTTATCTTTCGAGAATGTGAACCTCCTATTGTGCTTTGCTGGTTGTTTGTAACTTTTATGGGTTTCTCCAAGACTTGAATGTTTTATGTATATGACTGATGCCTCATGGTAACTATCTATGAATGCTTTTATTTTAATGTTAAGATGGCATCACATTTAATTAAGATGAATTTTCTTGACGAATCATATTTAATTGAGATGCTTCGAATTCAATAGTAAGCGCTGGGATTGCTCGTTCCCAACTATGTCGTTTGGGAGTTCATTTGAAATGATAGAAAGCGTTTTTATAGAAAATGTCTTTGGATTTCAGAAACCTGAAGTGCTTCCCATAAGAAGCATATGACTGATGTTTCTTACAAAAAGCACTTTTCAAGATTCACTTGCATTTTTGTTAATTGGTACCAAAAATATTTTGACTAAAAGCGCTTTCCATAATTTAAAAGCACTTTCAGGAATTTATAAGCATGTTCAAACGAGCCCTAGGCCGGGAACGAGAGTCAAAATCTTAGCCATCTAATCAAACACAAGGTAAAAGCACTTGCTTGTGCTTTAGTACTTAAGGTAAAAGCACTTACCTATGCACTAATATTTTGTGAAAACCAAACATTAATGCCTTCAATCTGCCTTTATTTGTATGTTTTATAACGTACATGGTGTGGTGTGCATATAATATTATCTTTGTGTCGAGGTTTTTCTCCACCTCCTTTTGCAATATCTTCATCTCCTCGAATTGGCTTCATCGGTCGTAACTTCTGTCGAACAAACAGCTTCAACAGACAGCCGCTTGAGTACGTTCGGACATGGATCTGTCTCGAAGGTGCTATTTGATACAGCAACTGAGCAACTCTCGCGGCCGATACAATTCTGCAAAACATGTTAACGGATATTAGTAAACCTGTGTGTGTGAAAGGACAAGAAAAGAAAAGAGTAAAAGATTATAGATGGGGAAATGCCTTCTCCACAACAGCGTGTGAGTTGGTCGCGTGACATGTTCCTTGCTGGAAACTCCCACAAGTTCCGCTAGGAGTTCCAAAACTTGCAAACTTAATGCTCGAGATAGACTGCCCTGGTGCACAATGCAGATGAACCTGAGCCTGGTGAAGCGTTTTAGAATCTTCATTACCATCGACATCAAAATTTTCAGCGTTCGGGTGGTTCTCATGTAAGTCACCACATACACCGGTCACTGATCTCCTCACTAGGGTTATCTTTGATGGATCTCCGCCTAGTTCCTCAAACACTACCACCAAATTTTGCGTTGGCTTTAACCATGAACGAGGAACATGATACCATCGTTGAGTTGGTCGGCCACAGTGAAGTTGACACTTCGTGGGTCGGAATGTCCCAATGTAACTACACGAACTGCAGTCACCTTTGGCATAAGCCATCCAGTATCTACCGATACTCTGCCCATTGATCCATACTTGTCCCTTTCCCATCCTCCTCATGTCCAACGCCAACGGCTCATTTCCTCCGGGTGCATTGAAATAAGCCTGCACAATCCGAGATAACATTTAGTTTAGCTTACAAAGCCTAATGCTTGACTAGTTTTCATCACTATCTCGAAATCTTTACCTTGTACCATTTCAATGTCTGCTTGGTTTGAGTAGCTAGTGACCTTCGAATCCAACCAACCGATGATGCTCCGTTTGGAGAGACCAAATTCATTGCTTCTCCCTTAAGGCCGACCTGTTTGAAAGATTTTAATGAGATTAAAACCTCAGCGAAAAGTAGAGAGGGTGAGAACAACAAGTGACAGAAATGTATATTCGGCAGGTTGTCCGACCTTGTTGAACCACTTATGCAATGTTAAGTCTTTCTTTCCGTTGCCAAGACCATCCAGAAAAACTGGACCTTGGATTCCTGTTTTCCATGACTCGTAATGCAACCCGACATTCTTCAACACCAAAACAAAAACTTATGAGTTTTTTTACGGGCATCATCATTGAGTTTATATGCACAAGTTTTTCGGAGTCAATGAGTTATGACTCTATGAGTAAGGCTCTAACCGGTAATCCAACAGCTATGCTGAGCAGTGCAATTCTGTTTATTCCAGCGTGCAGGTTGACTGGATCAGCAAATGTAAATTGCCTCTGCTCCCTAGTTCCAAACGCCGACCCTGAAGAAAATTATGACAAAGTTTTACTTCCAGTGGAGAGTAAATTCCTGCTTGCTGTTGGAAAACAAAAATTTGACAGCATACCTGAAAACTGTCCGTTGACGAAGACATGGAGGGCATGGCCAGCTGACTGTACAGTAAGAGTAGGCTTTTTTCCTCCGCTGAGGTCTGAAGAACTGATGTCAACACTGAATAGCATGGAAACCGAAAATGTCAAAGTGTGACATAGATTAAGAAACGATTTTTGAAAGAAAGGATTGCGTGGCTGCTCACTTCGTCATGTACCACAGATAGTCACTAGTATCTCTAGTAACATTTATCTGCTCAAGAAGTCCGATAGCTGGTATGCTTGATCTCTCGTGTACAGAAGAGATATCTTCATCGTAAGTCTGCCATGAAAACAATCGACTGTTCGTTGGGATCATCTGCACGTGTGACGTTTGAACTCCCACCTTGATGGAAAGCCAGTTGTATCAGTAAATTGAGAGATAGAGATACGAATTTATGAATAAAAGGACTTGCAATACAAGCGCCAACATCTTTGCTTACCTTTGCAGTGTTATATACTTCATTCCTGCAATCAGGAAGGATGCTTACAGACCAAGGAGGCAAATCATAGTGCTTGTTGTTAAAAGTCACCCTTGCTTCCACTGAATGGAAGTTTGAGAGAAACGCTGCGCATCTTCTCGGTCCTGAATTGAATACATAAGCCTGGAAGATAACCAAGATATGTAAAGATTTTTCCATAAGGTTGATAATGTAGCAGGGATCGTGCGATTGATGCAAGAAATTATGCGCATTCAAGAAGCCAAACCTGATGATAGGTTCCGAGTGAAGTGACGGTAGGCTCTGAAGAGAGTAAAGAATGTTCACATAATTTGATAGCCTTGTGAAGCTCCTTCAGATGACCGTATTTCGGTTGTCTGATCAAACCTAAAAACAGTTGGGTGGTTAGTTCCGTGTACGATCATAAGACAGTAATCGAAAGTCAACTGTATTTTGAATTCATCGAAAAAATTTATAGATTTTCATACTAAATTTGTACCGTATTCATCAATGGGGGCATCATAGTCGTAACTGGTTGTAATGAAGGGGCCTCCAGCAGTGCGTCCGAAGTTTGTTCCTCCATGATACTGTCATAAACCATAAACGGCGAAACTCAAATTTTCAGCCGGCAGTCTTTTAAAACTAGGAACCGATGAACAAGGAAACTAACCATGTAGTAATTCACATATGAGCCGCCCCTTTCTATGAATCGAGCAACTGCAAATGCTAAATCTTGAACAGGTCGATGGTGAATTGTGCCACCAAACTCCGTAAACCTAAAAAAATTTTGTTGCACTGACGGAATTAGAAGAATGAACATGAATACACTGAGCTAAATTCCGAACATTGGTTAAGATCGACTTACCAGCCGCTCCAAGCTTCCGTCCACATGGTAGGCTTGTAAGGTTTGTTGGGAGTGAATCCATCGCAGTAAAAACCGTTGCATGCATTTATCTGTAACCAAGATATAGTAACGTCGAGAAAGGATTACGAGCATCAGAGTTATCCAATCCAATCCAATCCTAGCGCACCAAGAAAACCGAAAAAAAACAAGCAGCTAACCATAGGGTCCGGGGCATCATCTTCCTTGCACATCACCCATGGGACTCCCGTATCCAATCCAACTGCCATTTTAGCAGCCCAGTTAATGTAGTTCTGTCCAGCAGCTCCAAGTGCCTTCCGCTCCGGTCCATACTCATTCTCAATCTGCACAGCACAAAATTCAAAAGATCGAGTCAAACAAGTTCATCAAAGAATTCAAACATTTTCAAGTAAATGTAGTCGAATTCCAGCGGATCAAGTTGATCGAAACTCGAATACATTACCTGGGAAAGGATGATAGGACCACCTTGTGATGCAAATAGCTTCTCATTTTTCATCATCTGGACAATCTTCTGGGTAAACCCTTGCATTGCCACCTTCACCCAAAAAACAAAAGAATGAAGTTTCAAGTTTTTTCATTTTACACACCAATATTCTAAACTACTATAATCTATGGAGAAAGGGACGAGCACACTCTTCTAGCCAATTGGCCTAATCCACGTCTGCTAGGGACAAGCTCTACAATTAACCCTCTAATTTCATCAAAATCTAACAAAATCTAGAGCTTTACCCTTGCATTGCCACCTTCACCCAAAAAACAAAAGAATGAAGTTTCAAGTTTTTTCATTTTACATACCAATATTCTAAACTACTGTAATCTACGGAGAAAGGGAAGAACACTCTTCTAGCCAACTGGCCTAATCCGCATCTACTAGGGACAAGCTCTACAATTAACCCTCTAATTTCATCAAAATCTAACAAAATCTAGAGCTTTACCCTTGCATTGCCACCTTCACCCAAAAAACAAAAGAATGAAGTTTCAAGTTTTTTCATTTTACATACCAATATTCTAAACTACTGTAATCTACGGACAAAGGGACAAACACATTCTTCTAGCCAACTGGCCTAATCCGCGTTTGCTAGGTACAAGCTCTACAATTAACCCTCTAATTTGGTCAAAATCTAGAGCTTTCAGTAGAATTTTTCAGGAAGAAAGATACCTTAAATGGCCCATTATCTGTTCTGAAACTGATGCCAGGTACATATTTAAGCCAAACAGGAAATCCTCTGCACAAATGGGAGTCAAAATTTAAGCACTCAAGTTAAAGATAATAAATATGGAATATCAGAAAAACTAAAATAAATAAACAATTCTGATATCTGAAGCGTTTATTCCTCACTGCATCATACAGAATGCAGATATAACTCAGGCTGTCTTTGAAATTTTGGGGGTCTGTACGAAATTTGTAAAAAGGGCCCTCCTTAAGATAGTTTTAAGTATTAATAAAAGTATGACAATATATTGATACTAGAAAACATTCACTTAAATCAAAACAAAGCCACTTAGTACTACGGTTTAGTAATATTCCTCTTTACTTGTAAGTGAGAGGTCTTCGGTTTAATTATCGTCAAAGGTAAATTTGAACCACATAATTG